TTCACTGGCTGAGCTATCTCTCTCAATCCTCTCTTAAAACAAAAAAATTCCAGAAGCAGTTTTCGTAGGTAGCCCAGACTGACCTGGAATTTGTCATCCTCTCAGGTCAGCTTGCCAACTACAGGGAGGGTAGGCATGCACCACCATGCCGGGGTGGCTGCATATAGACTTGTCTCCATGTAGAGATGGTGGCAATTTTAGTAATGCTGTGGTGAGAGGGGCTAGAAGCGCTTGTAACCTCGTTTCTCACTTTTATTGCTGAGAGATTAATGTTCTCCTTCCTCTTCCCTCCCTCCCTCCTTCCTATCTCCCCAAACCATTTCCCACGGTCATTGACAGTGGGTATTCAAAGATTTATTTATTTGTTGTGGGTTTGTCTCTTGTCTTATGTAAATCTGCATTTGCCCTATTATCTTGTAGTTTGAAAACAAGACAGTAACAGGTGTATTGAGTCTTATACAAACTCTTCTTCTTACTGAAAGAGATGATGGCGGCAGTAGGCAGTCTGCCAACTATTTCCAGAAGGCATTGCCACTGTTATAATTTGATTACTCCATTATATCGCTAACTGTGGTGGTTTGAATAGGTTTGGCCCCCAAAGACTCACGTGTGGGAATGCTTGGCCTATAAGAAGTGGCACTATTAGGAGGTTAGAGGAAGTGTGTCACTGTTAGCCTTGTTAGAGGAAGGGTGTCACTGTTGAGGTGGACTTTGAGGTCTCCCAAGCTTAAGCTATACCCAGTGTAGCACAGTCTCCTTCTGCTGCCTGTGGATCAAGATGTAGAACTCTCAGGCCTTCTCCAGCACCATGTCTGCCTGCATGCTGTCATGCTTTCTGCCGTGATGATGATGGACTAAACCGCTGAACTGTAAGCCAGCCTCAATTAAACCGTTTCCTTTAAACAAGCTGCCGTGGTCATGGTGATGGTGTCTTTTTATAGAAAGGCACTAACATTTTACAGAAGTTCTTTTAACTCTACAGTCTTACCCAGGCAAAGTGATTATCCCAGTGGTTTGGATTATTTCCAAACGCTATTTACACATACCCACTCCCCACACACCCTGCTCCAAGACACTTTTCCCTTTGTAGCCTTGGCTGTCCTGGCCTCGATGTGTGAACCAGGCTGGCCTAGAACTCAAAGAGATCTGCCTCCTTGGGTACGGATTAAAGGCGTGTACCACCATGCCTGCCTTACAAATACCTTTCTTAATATTTTATTTATAGGTGTTTAAAAAATAAATTCACCAAATTTTCCCTGGACAAAGAGCTGCTAATTTTGAGCAAAAATATAGATGGTGCATTGTGAGAGAAGTTTTTGGCTTACTCTTGATCACTAAAGAAAGTTCCCCTGGGCACTCAAAGTCCCCTTTAAAAACACTTTGTAAGTTTAGCTAGTCTATCTTTGTGGAATTTGCACTTGAGGCTTAAATCTTCCTGCAGAGGCCACTGAAGTGATAATGAAAGATTAGGTCGGGCACAACTAAAATGTTCCAGTATATTGTAATCTCAATTGATATAAAAAAATCAAAGGCATGCAAAATAGAGATAATGAAAGTTGGAGCTACTGGAACCTGAATGTGCCTCAGCTAAGAGTCCCCAGAGGGTAGTGGCTGGCAGCAGAGAGGTGTGGACGGCTGCCTGGGGTTCTTCTGTCCCCTGGAAGTCCTGTGACCCTGAATGAATTGATTACTTTTTAGACTTCAGTTTCCTCTTATGTCTGCATAGTGGAAATAGCTTGCAAAGTTTCCATAAGGGATGAGAAATTGGGGACAATAAGTGTTCACCTGTTGTTGTTATTATTATTATTATTGAACTGTTGAAGACTTTAACCATGGCTGCAATTAATCCTCATCTCTAGCCTTTTCAAGACCAACCAAGCTGTATTTTAAATAGTGATTTCAATAATATTTTCTCAGGGGGGGAAAAAACCACCCAATTCCCTAAATTATCAAAAGTATAAGTAAATCCTCCATAGCAGTTTATCTTATTCCCCTTTGTAAATTTTTCTAAGCTCTGTAATTTTCCAGGTTCTCAGTATTTAATTTACTGTTCCATGGTGGGGTGGTAAAATGAGGATTTCCCTTGTATGCATAATATATACCTACATGCACTTGAACATGCATGCCATTAAAGACAAATATCAGTGCTGGGAAAGTGGGTTGGTAGGGCTGTGAGAGATCTGTATGAGATGCTGGAGACTCCTACAGATAGTTGGAATTGAGAAACAGGGTCCAGATATTGTTTTTCTACTACGTGTATGTGAGGTAATTTGTGTATTTCTCTAAGCACTTGTTTTATTAATTTTTTTAATTTCAATTTTTCTTTTTTATATTTATTACAGTTTAATCTTTAAAGATGAAAATAATAGTGATGTGTACCTTCTAATGATCCTTGAGGTAAAATGATTGAAAATAATATATAAGTTCTGTGGCAACATACATAAGCTTTTATAGTTGCTAATAATTTGAATTCATTTTTCCTCTATCTTCCTTACCCTTGGGTATTAGTTTCAAAACATTTTATTTTTCTGTGACAAGTGGCCCTTTGAAAGAAAAAGAGGGAACACAGAAGATGCCTAAAATCGGAGTGTTTTCTCTGCATCCACAGTGTGCCTCTGCTCACCCTCTCATCTTGCGTTTCGTGTGCACTCGCCATGTGCTATCTCCATTATTAACTTGGATGCCATGGTTTCTCAGAGAGTTCAGAACACGTGGAGGTGTAAGAACACAATTCGCCTTTTTAAGCCTTCAATGTCTTCTTAAAACCCAGACAAGAGACGAGTGGGAAAACCGAAAAAATGGTAAGAATTAGTTCAGGAGACATCTTGTTTTGGACATTGCCAAAACTGAATAATCATCGAAAAGCAGGCTGACATTTCTTCCTCAAGCTTTCCACGCTTGTTAAAATACTTTGCTTGCTGAAGTATTCAACTGAACTAAATTTCATCTAACATCTGGCCACTGCATAAACACAGCAATGAAAACATGCCTTGTTGCCTCCACATTGGGTATAAATTTTAGAAATCCAATTAGCGTTGCATTCTTTGTGTGCGCTATTTCTTTTGTGTTTGAACTAATTTTGGGCTCCTACCTGGAATTACAAGGATGCAAATATTTAGCATGCACATCTCAGCAGCACAAAGCAACCAGGTTGAACAGGGCTTTGTGGCATTTCCTCATGATTGTAAGATACTCTTTAATTGCTTCGTTCTTGCAGCATGTGTTTATCCAGGGGAATATCAAGCCTCTTACACAACAGGAATGAGAGTGGGGAAAGAGAAACACAAAGGATAAAGAAGACACATTCGTGGTTACTAAGAAGTTTAGAACCCAGTGGAGGAGACTGGCACTATTCCAATCATTTCACCATATCACAAATCCTATAAGAGCCACATATTGATTTGGCTTCCAAGGATTATTTACCTATCATAGAGGCTGCACATTCCATAAATGACTACCCCAACCTTGCACTGAAGGTCTGTAACCACTAAAAATTGAGAAGACTTAAGCCAAGAACCCAGAGCGGGGAGTAGATAAACACTCACTGAGCTTAGGCTACCCATCTGGGTGGACAGGATTTGCCAAACAGCCTGAGGGCAGACCATTGGTTAGCACTGCCAGTCGGCTGTTGGAGTCTTTCCCTTTAGACTCACTGTGGTGATAGCTGATATCTCAGTCTGCTTTGTAAGTGTAGACATTACGAATGAAGCCTTCGAAAACTTAATCTTCACTGTCTACGCCAGGGCCCACCCCAGGATGTACTCGCCAGGCTTTCTCAGCATGCAAATGATTTTACCCACCACCGTTGGGTTATACTCAAATGTCAAAAAGCTCCCATTCATTCTAAAGGAAGCCAAAAACTACAACCAAATTTTTAAAGACCATCACAAAGCGAATAAAATGTAATTAATGTAAAAAAATTTAATTAAAAAGAACTTTGAAGATTTATTTGTATGATCTTAGTAATATGATACAACATAAGACACAGAACCCAGCCGCACTGCTAATTCTTTTAATAGATTTTTTTCCAAATATTAGACATTACAATTTAAATCTCTTCAGCATCAGCTCTAATGTTGGAATAATATTTAGTTAATAAATAATTGTGAATAAAACCACACATTCACTTTGTTTTTCTTAGTTTCTTATAAGTTATTATGATTGGGTCATGAAATGGCAAATAATTATTTATGTATTTCCATAAATTGTATGTTTATTTAACCTGAAACTTGAAAAAAAATTTTAGGAATACCTTACAATGGGTTATATAAGTCAGCTCTTGATTTTTGACTTAAAAGTGTAACAGTACAACTGCTTTTAAATTTAGTGTTCATGACATGTGGTGTACAATTTTTTTCAGTATATATTTTCACAGGCTATGGGTAGTTATTTGCAAAAAGTGAGTATCCAGTTTTTGATTTTTGAAGTTAAATGTCTAACATTTCTTTCTGAGAATTATGGGTTTCAAAGGTTTGTGTTATTTCAAAGGTTTGTGCTAAAAAGCGTTGACCCCTAGACATGAACTCAGACAATTTGAGGTAAAGAAAGCGAGTTTTGTTAGATGACACTTTTAGATAATAACCATTCTTTCCTAATAATTTTCACTCTGTGAGTATTCTGGGAAAAGTTTATTACTTTCAGATCCAGCAAGTTCCAAATTCACATATCCTGAAGTCTTACGCTAAGAACTTTTTGTAGTTTTTATAAGATTGTCTATTTGGCCCAGCACCTCTGCTTGTCACAGGGCAGTATATCTGTCAGATTTGTCATGTGTGATTTGTGGGGAAGTGTCAACAGGATGCAACGAGGGGCCACGCAAGGATCAATGCCAGCGCTCTAATCAGGTACGCGTTTGGAAGTTCACGACCATCAGTGAGGTTAGACTATTCCACACTCTGCCTGGATTCACCTACAAGAGTTGTGCCTTTTGAAACTGACCTCTGATAAGTCAGCTCATTTCTATCATGCACATTTTCCAGAGACTTCTAATCTCCTTATGGAATCTCCAACAGAGAGCAGCTCTGGCCAGCAGTGCCTGTGAGCTGCGGCAGGACACCCCTCTGATGACTGAAAAGAAAAAAAAATTATGAGTAGTGTCAAATGGCAGAAACAAGTTGTAAAATTACCAGTGACTTAGGCTCCAGAAAACTTTTTTTTTTTTTTTTTAAGTATGAAAGGGTAGAAATTTTGTAAGAAAAAGGAAACCTGCATTTAAAATTGGAGTCCTACGTTAAGGAAAAAAAAATCCTCAAAATCTGCTTCAATGATTCTTTTCTGCTCTGTTTTTGACAGACTGTGCATTTTCAGTGTATGGACCACCTGAAATTTGGGGGTTGTCTGTGTTCTCCTCCTCAGGGAACAGACAGTTGGCATTGTTCCACTGCTCATATAAATCTTTTATGTCTTCCTGAGCTTTCCTCTCTGATCTCTCTGCTTGTGTATCTGTCAGCGGCTGTCTCTGGGGAACGGCGCTATGCACTTCATTAATAAGAAGGGATTAAAGGAAAAAGCCCTGGTCTCCTAATACACTGGATAATTTGGTGCCATCCATGAGGCAATAGACCCCTGCTGCATAGATGTCATTAGAAAGGTACAATTTCATTACTTTTTTTTTTTTTTAACTGGCAGAGCCTTGAGTGAAATGCAAGACATATTGTCTCATATGCAAAGAGGAAGAGTGATGGAGCCCTTACCCTCTGCCCTTAAACAGTAGAATATAAAAATATACTGTTTTCACATCCATGTTGCCTTCCTTTGATGACACTAGAAATTATACTTTCCTTAAATATTGAGCAAAACAAAAATTAGAAGAGATTATTGTTATTCCTAAATCCCAAATGAGTGTCATAATATTTTTATCAACTACCATGCTACTTTTGATTACCTACTGTGTGCCTGGCACTCTGCCAGCTGCTAAAGAAAGCCACAAAGCCATGATTCTGTGTTTTTCAATCCCTACCATATTGAATGCTGTCATTGGAAATGAGTGTTAAAGTAAGCACAAACGAAGAAAACTGTATGGCATAATAAAAACAATTGCAGGCCATGATTTTGAAAGTGCAATCAGAAATCCTTGTAATTATTTCTTGTTAACTAAGTTTGTTTTTGATCTCCCATGTTTGTTGGTGGTTGATATTACCAACCGAAGCACCCTATTCTTAAGCCTACGTAGTATATTGTAGTATATTAGGAAAACTGTTGAAATAATGGGCACAAACCACCTTTGGGAGATTCATGCCCTGGTTCTGTGAGTGCTTATGTCTGTGGCGTAGTATATTCAAAGCCCTGAAAAAGGGACCTGTGCTTCCAGCATCTACCAGAAAAAGTGCCGGTGGCATTGAGAGGCACATGCTAGCCTCATGGCTGTCTGGGAACTTGCTCATCAGTTTCCTAGCACCGAAGAGAATCAGGTTTAATAGTGGTCCATTATCTCACTGCCACAGACACAAAACTGCCATTAACAATAAGAAGTCACACACAGTTGGAATTGGGCTTGGGAGAAGAAAGCCCTTGATTATCAGCTATTTACAAGCTGGTCCTCCCAGAGATGGCTCTTCTCTCTCTCCCACTACTAACTTTTGCTTAGTGAAATTGACATTTGCAGTGCTTTTGTCTAAGATAAACGCTAGGCTGGGCTGTTACGATGGTAGAAACTGGGGTTTCTACAGAGCTTTCTCCTGGCAGAAGACAAAGCAGTGTGGAAAAAACAAATGGTTTTAACAAGTAAACCAGGCAGAAGGGTAAATACTAGGAAAACACGTTAAGCTTATGTGCACTATGAAAGATGGGCCACCTAGGAGCATCAAACAGAGCCGGCCTCCTCACCGTTTTATTTGGCAACCCTGTTGCACCTTGTCGGCCGCATATCTCAGTTCACACAAATAGGTATCGTTATACTCAACAGTGGTGATCATCAACAGATGCCGTGGGGAGCAAGGCAGCGTCAGCAGATGGGGTGGGGCAGGGCCAGTTCATACCTTCTACACTAAGCAGGACTTGGACACCAACAGCAAGTCAGCACTTAACCAGCCAAGCTCCTGTCCAAAATACCTCAGCGAGGGTTTCGATACAGAGACCACGATGACAAACGAATGCCCCAGTTTTTCCAATAAATTTAAAAAAGTAAGTGAAGCAGTTACAAGCTTAGGCGGTTAATCTTGTGTGGTGTGGTTAAGTATGTGCACTGAAAACAGACCAGTCACTTGACGACAGAACGCAGATTTCCCTTCTTCTCGTGCTAGCCGGAAGACTGTGGTAACCTTTGCTTCCCCTCCCCCCAGGCCCCGCAGGTCTGGCTGTCCTGAACCTCAGCCGATGTCCCCATGCACGTCTCTTTAGATGGAACTAATGCATGGAGAGAAATTAATATTCTTTCCAGATTTTTTGATTTTAGCCCTATAGTTTCTTGGATTCTGAGGAGGAAGAAGGATTATAATGAGTTGGGGTTGGGATCTGACAATCAGATATTTGCCATATAAATACTAATATCAGCAATGGCCTTTGCTAATTGTTTCCTCTCCAAGGTAGTTTATGAAGAAGGGATGGCTTGGGAGAGAATTTACTCCAATTCTTCTCTTGACTGCACGTGACTCCGTGACATGGTACGCTTTGTCATTGTTAACTCAGTCCAATGGAGTCACTACTCAAGAGAGGATTGGCAATGCCAGCTTCCTCACAGAGGTGCCCACATGCTCTGTAAGAGGCAAGATTTGACCAAATCTTGGTTCACCTGTTCAGTTGTTATTAGTGAAAGGGAACTGGATAAACTATTTTGCATATTTGCTTCGGGGATACTTTTTAAAAAAGATCTCTGTTTTAAAATGTCATATTCCTTATAGGTTTCTTCTTCCCCCACTGATACTAGTAAAATATATGTTGTTTAAACTGAGTAATAAGACATGAAACGAGAAACCTGCACCTGCCTAATTTATAACAAATCTGTTTCCTTAATGGGTGGCAGGAAATCTGAGGCCAGGGCTAGGGAGTCTCTCCTGCTTTCAGTGCTGTCCTCTAGTCATACCGAAGACAAGACCTCTCCAGACGACTCTTTGGCCTTCTTCTCTTCACCACGGTCAATGTCGATCACGTGCACCCCAGGTTTCAGGATCAAGTCCTCTGTCTCCACCTGGCTCCTGTTGTCCTCCACTTCCATGTAGCTCCCCTTTGTCTGCTGAGCAGCTTTGCTGAAGGCTTCCTTCAGGCTCCGTTTGAGCTCCACATCCGGGCAGAGGACGTACTCATAAAGGGCACCTGCCAGCACGGCGCCGATTATGGGTCCAACCCAGTATATCTGGGGGAAGGGCGGAGGAGGAGAGGAGAGAAGGAGAGAAAAGTGGTCACAGTGGATAACCCATGAATATAGGGTCTAACTGAATTAAATTACGGCAGCAATGTCATGCCCCACCTTGCCTCTCTCTCTCTCTCTCACACACACACATATTTGAAAATAAATGAGAAAATATACCAACTCTACAAAGATTCATTCATTATTAAACAACATTTGAACATAAAAGAATAATTTCTTCTCTTTTCTTTCTTTTAATATCGTATTTTTAATGTTCTTAAAAAAATTACCTGAGACAGAGTATAGCTCAGGCTGCTGTCAAGACTCAAACACAGCCCAGGCTAACCTTGAACTCACAATCCCTCCCCTCTCCCGGCATCATGAGTATTGAAAATATTCCTGGGTCCCATCACACCTGGCTTGTCAACTTCACGATAAGTCTTAACATAAAAATGCCCCTGACACTAGGAGTTCTTTAAGATAGAAAGAAAGAATTTTTGGTCCAGGCTTCTCTTGTGTATTCCACACTAGGGTATCACCTTGACTTCTGTATAGTCAGGGTCCTGGTGCAGTTTTATCACTTAGAGTGGTAGCTATTGAGTATGTGCAATGAATACAGTCCCAGCCCCATCACTTAGCGGTGCTGTGAGTGCCTACGTCAGGGACTTTTCCATTTTGAGACACGGTCTCTTGTATCCTTGAACTTACCATGTGGCTCAGGATGGTCTTGAACTACTCACCCTGCCCCTCCCCACCGCACGTCCCCAGGTTCTTCCCTCAGAGTTCTGGGATTACAGACATGTGTTGCCATGCCCAGGATGTACAACGCTGCAGAGAGAACCTAGTGTTTCCTGCGCGCCGGGCAAGCACTTTCCCAATTAAATTATACCACTATAACTGTAAATGACTTAACTTCCATGCCTCACTTTTTTTTATCTGCAAAGCAGAGGCTATAATACATATCTCACAGGGCTGTGAAGACTAAGTGAAATGACACCTATAAAGTGCCTAGTTTGTCGCTCACGTTAACCAGTTCAGCTCGGGCATCCCAGGCAATTTAAAGCTGTGGACGACTAACTCGGCTGTTAGTTTCTTCACGCTGTAGGCTTTCCCTCTTTAAAATTTGATGACTTTGTTATGGTTTATTTATCTCTCCCATTGGAGAGTGCTTCCCCTGTCTACTGCTGTGGTGAATACCTGTGCTGACTTATGGATGTAGACGAGATAAGGATCAGTGAGCGATTCTACAGGCTTCCAGCAAATGGTGTGTTTTTATCCCATCAGTGACGCACTCGGAATAAACTAAGCTTTCGGTCTCATTAGGCTGCAACACATACCTTTAGAGCACAGGCATGCTACCTAGAGTGATAGGCACTCATCCCATACATTCACTTGGGACCCAGAGTCCTGTTTATGGAACACTCTAACTGGCTGTACCGAGCACTTTTCTTATCTCATTAATAACCTTTGATGCGGACATTATTAAAATATACATGGCTAGGGCAGCCGACACTTTGAGAGGTTACAAGCTTACTTCAGATAGCATACTTGACAAGTGATTGAGCTGATTGTCAGGTTTGTACCCATTTACCAACTTAATGTTTGAGCTCCCATTTGAAAAGAAAAAATAAATAAAAAAACTAGACGACGTCTTGCTTAAAATAGCATCTGGACGTGAACCGCGCTCAGCATCTTCATTGTGAAGCCTAAAGGAAAGCCAAGCTTCCCGCTGAAGGAGACCACATACCCTTAACAGGAAAATAGCCGGGAGAGTCGCTGGACCAACCAAGCTCCTTATCTTAAACATGAAAGAGCCCAAAGGAAAGTTTATCTTCTCTGTGCCCTTTCAAAGGAGAAATGAGAGCCCTCCTCTAAATGCCTTTGCTCTTTGTTCCCTTGGTAAGATTTCACTAGGTTGGGGCCACTTCACAGGCTACAAGTCTCAGAAGGGAGAACGGCACTGTTAAGTAATCACTCCCTTTTAAAAACACTCCGGAGGAGACGGCTTCCACATTCTCAGAAATAAAGCTTGGTGCCAATTCCCAAACATAGTTCTGTGTGCTTTAAAGTACCTTTAAATTTTCAGAAGGAATTTTATTGCTGAAAAAAGAAATTATTATAAATTTAAAACATGTAAACATGTAACATGTTTTAAATATATAACATGTTTAAAAGAAACTCCTACCTTGTCATTACATTACCTGTCCATTTATTGTAAGATCTACACTTCTCATTAAAAAGTTTTCATTTTGGGGTTAGAGAAGTTGCTCCGTGTGTAAAGTTTCTTCATGCAAGTGTGAGGATCTCAATCTGAGTCCCTGAAACCCACGGGAAAGCTAGACACCATAGTGCATGTCTGTACTTCCTGCCCAGTAGGATGGGAAATGGTAGGCAGAGATAGGAGAGCCCAAGGGACTCATAGGCCAGTTGGTGCTCAGAGTTGAACAAGAGACCCTGTTCAAACAAGGTGGAAAGTGAGAACTGATAGCCAAGGTTGTCTTCTAACCTCCGCATGCCATGTTACACATGTGCACGTGAGCATACACACACACACACACACACACACACACACACACACACACACACACGCAGAATGTAAACTGCATTTTTGTTAATGTAGTAAGTCTTTTCAGAAGTAACAGTGGCAAAATGACCAGTCCAACGAATGACATTGGGGATCAACATTTTGCATGTCTGTGTCCAAAGTATGTCTTAGCAACTCAGTACACTTTCTGTGTAAGGGAATTCGTGCAGTCATGGTGTCATATTTTCCTCTTTTCCTAGGTCATGCCCTCTTTGAGTAGTTGTGGTTGGCTTCATTGCAGCCATGTGCAAAAGGTCAAAGCACAAATGACAAATTTTTATAAATTTAAAACATGTAAAATCACATTTATAATAAAGGAATCAGCTCTATTTTAAGTTGGCGCATATATGTATATTCTTGTATTTTATAGGTTATTTAAATTAATGTATGAGTGACTTTCACAATTGCCTATGAGTTGAAGGAGAGAATTGTTGACAGAAACAACTGAAACAGAATTGATGTGTCTCTCACGACTCTTGGCCCAGATTAAGAAGAAGGGTAGTCCTGAGATTAAAAAAAAAATACATCTTCTTGGGAGTCATTTATTTTTTTTCAGTTATAGCTGTGGTGAAAATGGCATAGACATCCACATCATTTATTTGGTTCTATCCACAGTTCACTCGATTCCAGCTCCTGTGCTGGTAATTGCATTATGTTTACGTAATCTAAGATGGTATATATCTTTTTCACAGGTGATACCTTCGCATATCTCTTTCTTCCTTTTAAAAATAACTTTATTTTCTGTTGTTGCTAAGAAGGCTCTCATTGAATTATTTAAACACTGACATTCAGCACATGCTTGTGATTTAAATTTGTTCTACAAAGGGAGCCCTCTGTACCAAGCATTCTGCCATAGTCTGTCAGACATGTATCTGGCAACGTTTCAAGAAAACCCAACTGTTAAAGAGATTTAGAACAGAACACTATGGTCATCTGCAGCAGGGCTCTGCTGGACTTTCTCTCCTTCTTGTGACAGATGCAATAATAAGCTGAGAGTTGGAATTGGGGGTGGTGGGGGACCAACCGAAACTAATGAACTAAATTATGCTTATAAAAAAGAACCTTTTGGACAATTGTTCCCAATTTCAAAAGATGGGGTAGATAAACTTAGTAGTTACCCAGTGGTTTTCCCAGTTTCCCATGATAACTGCAGGTCCGAAGGATCGAGCTGGATTCATGCTGGCTCCGGTATAGTTAATCTATAGGGGAAAAAGAACAAAACCTTAGGCAGTTTGGAAACAGGGCTCTTGAGGTATCACTTGCTGCAAATCACTATCGTCTCCTTGGAGGGACACTGAGATTTAGCCACTTTCTAGTTGGAGAAATGATAACATGAACAGATTTGGCTGGATCTGAGTGAGTTGTGTGTCTTATGGCACAATCTGCATGGGTACATGGGCATATCCAACTAGTTGGAAGAAGTTTTAAATGTATCTGTGTATTGAAAGATTAGCAGTGATGTAAACAACATTCCTGAAATGATCTAAATGTTGCAGTGGTTGGCAATGGCCAGGCTAGTGGAACCAAAGAAAGCATCAGCCATAAACAAACGGGCATCTTCAGGCTAGCTTCAGGGTGAGGGTAAATGAGATCGATCAATTATTCAAATGGACTCAAGACTTACTGCAAACAAATGTCCAATTGCAACGGAAAATCCAATGGCTAAAGCTATTGAACCAGTGACATCAGTCCGTTTGGAATCACAGCTGGCAAAAATAGTGAAAACCAGCTGGAACGTGATTATCAACTCTACCAAGAGCCCATGGCCAGCGGTAAGGTTTCCATGAACCTACAGAAAGAGAGAGAGACTCCATCAGCACTGAGACAAGAGTCTAGGTCTACAGCAAGGCATCAATATGAAGGGTGTATTTCATCTGGAGACAGAGCCATGGTTAGAGCGAGTCTTCTACCAACCCCAGGTTGCGATTTCCATCCCTTCTAGTTCCTAAAAAGAAGGAATCAGTTGACAATCATTTTGAGTCATTACAGATAATCGCTCTCACGGTGACTGAGTTTTCACTGAATGTGGTATTTAGCAACACAGGTGAAATGTGTTAGTGCTGCACTTAGCGTGTAAAAGATGTTCCTAAGAGATTTAGAATGCTATGAGGCAATTATTAGACCCATCGATTGAGTTTAGGTTAGTTCATAGGTGTCAACTAAAACATAAGCCATGTCCTTAAAGCCAGCCCTGGAACTGGGATAGTGAGGAATATTGCCAGTCATAAAGAGTAACAAGATGATCAAATGAATGTGGATTTACTATTTTTTTTTTTTTTTTTTGCTGTGTATCCCTGCCTGTCATGGAACTTGCTTTGTAGATCAGGGTGGCTTCAAACTCAGGGATCTGCCGACTTCTGTTTACTGAGTGCTATGATTAAGAACATGGCATGGACTGGACGTAGGCCAGCTACACAGATGTAATTTATGGGCATCTTGGTCCTCGTAAGGGTCCTCTAGTAAAGGGAATGGGGGATGACCCTGCCATGGACTCTGTTGCCTGCTTTTTGATTATTTTTCCCTGGCAGGGCTACCTTGACAGGACACAGGGAAAGAGGGTATGCTCAGTCCTGATGCTACATGGTATGGTGAGGTGGTTTGGTGGGTAGGGGCTCCATAGGGGTAACAGGGAGGGAAAGTGGGGCTAGGAAGAAAGGAGGAAGGGGGCTAAGAACAGGATGTAAAATAAACCTAAAAAAGCATGGCCCTTTATGTCCATCATTCATAGTACCCTACATATGAAAAACAATGAATGTTGCCCCTGCTAACAAATACATAATTGTAAACTCTTAAGATAAAAATAAAGTCAAGTCAGTCATACTGTAATCCAGTCTATACCTGTAATCCCAGTGCATATGAGGCTGAGGCAGGAAGATTGCTACAAGTTCAAGGCCAGGATGAGATAGATAATGAGTATGTGACCCTGTCTCAAAAAAACATATTCAGTATTGTTACTGGGGTGGGAGAAAAAAAAAACTAAACAAACTAAAATGATTTTGAGACCTTTTAATCATGTTCAAGCCACTCAATAGCAAATAATAATGTCCTTATGATATTTTTTTTTCCTCTATGTAGACAGGGTCTCATTATATAGTTCAGGCTTGCCTTGACTTCTGATCCTTAGATTGTAGGCAAGCCCATGCCTGGCTCTCCTGTAGATATGTTTTTAAAAACAACACCACAAGCTTCTACTCTTCTTCTTCTTCATCCTCCTCCTCCTTCTTTTCTTTTTTTAGACAAGTTTCTAAGTAGAACAGACTGAGGATGACCTTGAACTTGTAGTTCTCCTGCCTTCACTTCTGAAATATGCTGTAGTGTAGATCTGTGCCTCCCTACGTCTCATGTATGTTGTGCTGGAAATACAACTCAGGATCTGGCAAGCAATTTACCAACTGACCTATATCCCCAGCTCCTTAATCTAGCCGTATTCTGAATACCTCCCAGGCCGCTGAGCCATCTTTCAAGAGAGTCTGCAAGCAGCCTGGAATTCTAGTACAGAAACAAGAGCCCAAGAGTTCTTACCGTCGTGACGCCCAAGCCTCCCACCACGCTGGGAGGTGTGACCAGGTAGAGGATGCCGGCTCCAATGATGGCCCCCAGGCACTGTGCGGCAATGTAGAAGACCGATTTGGCGATGCTGATCTTGCGTGTGCACACCATGGCCACTGTCACGGCAGGGTTGATGTGGCCACCGCTGATGTGGCCAAAGCACTGCACCATGGTAGCAATGCTCAGTCCAAAGCAAAGAGAGATGAGGACCATGTCCACAGGTAAGGGGTTTTCTGAGCCACCCCAGTTGATGGTGGATCCAAGGCTGAGCAAAACGAAGATAAGCATGGCCAGAAACTCTGCTGTGACTGCCTTCCAGAAGGCTTGAGTCCAGACCCCTTTGAAAGCCACCATGATGCTCTCTTTACTGCATGAACGTCCACACTTACTAGAAGGAAGAACATGAGAGTCAGAAGCTTCCAACTTTGTTTTCCAGCTGGAAGGGGCACTGAAATCTGGGGGTGGGGGTGGGGGTCAGGCCTTCAGTCTCGCAGACTAGGGTGGGCTGATGCAAATGCTTTGCAACCCAAGAAAGACTGCTTCTGGATGTCTCCTTAATCAATAACCAAGAGGCTGTTATTCTAATCTCCTGTGACTTCCTATTCAATGGACAGCAGCCCCCACTGTCCCTAGAAAGAAAACCATCTCAACTAAATTCCTTAAGAGATCAAGAATAAACTGTATTTAACTGGGAGTTAGCTCTCTTCAGCAAGCTTTAGAATTTATACTTTACATGTGTGTTTTTGTTTGGGACAGAAATTGGTTTAAGAGCAGCTGAGGGCCAGGGTGGTGGTGGTGGTCACTGGAGAGATGGCTCAGCAGTTAGGAGGACTGTCTATTCTGCTAGAGGGCCTGGGTTTGGTTCCCAGCAAACACACATGGCTATCTTTCACCTGTGACACCAGTTCCAGAGAACCCAAAGCCCTTTTTCTGCCAGCTGTGGGCACTGTATCCAGGTGGTGCACAGACACACACGCAGGCGAAGCACTCATCATACACATAAAATAAAATAAATCAACTGAAAGTCTCTGGCTGATTCTCAGCACTGTTGTGGGTCTCCGCACTGTCTGGTGCTCACTGCAAGAAGAAGCCTCTGTGGCCAAGACTGAGGGTAGCCCAAGGACGGGGGTGAGGAGATCTGGGGAGAGTTGTGTAGAGACACAGTGTGGGCGGATCTGATCATATTTCACTATGTGTACATATTTGTATACATACAAATTCATATATGTACATATATGAATTTCTGAAGAATAAAGAAAAATATATTTTAAATAGGCATATATTTTTTTCAGTTTTGTATTTTGTAGCTTCAAAGGGGCATTTTAAAAATGGGTTTGTAAAGGCCTGTACCTACTCCTACCCGGGAGCAGAGGCTTGCGGATTTGGAGGAAATTTGCTACGAAGTTGGGACTGTGGAACTGCCTTTTGAGAAGATAAACTGGCAGAGGGCAGAATTGCTCCTGGGACTTGGTTTGGGCTCTGGGGACCAGCAGGGACTCAGCTGGAACAGGGCCCTTTCCTGCTGTTGCCCTGGGCAAGGAGGAGGCAAGGTGCAGGCAGAACTAGCTTGGGAACCAGCCGGGCATCTGTGCCCAGCCTCTGGGCAGATCTGGGCTTGTAGCACTGGTACGTGACAATCTCAGTTCCTAGGGCGAGCCTGAGAGGCTTTGCAAGGGCGGGGCTGCAGGCCCTCCAGGCTGCTGCCAGGCTCCCAGGCAGTGGCCAGGTGAACAGACAGACGTAGCTGCCAGAGGGGCCAACCACCGGAGAGGAAAGACCGGGTAAGGGATGTTTTCGAAAGTGTTTGGAGACAGGATAGTAACTCCTCAGGCCCCACTGTCCCTCAACCAACAGTGGGGTAGCTCTCCAACATACCCCCCCACCCCCAATCCTGGAGTCTGGAGTATGTAAGCCAGCCCCACGCAGTCTTCCCAACAGGGTATAGAACTAGGAAGATTATCCAGAAAAAGGGGTGTGGCAGGAAGCAGTGCAGTTTCTGTGAGATGAGTTATGGAGCTTCTTTCTCATTGAAGACTTCTCTCCCATGGGATTGGCTTCTCATGTGGAGATGTGGAGGTAGGGCAGGGAACAAGAAGGGAGAGGAAGGCGCTTGGAGTGTGGTCAGGAAATAAGGGATTTCTAGGCAGCTTTGGGAAGGGGTAGATGCCCCCTGCGCCGCTGGCCAGAAATTGTTACATTCCCCTTTGGAAGAGCAATCACCCCAGTTGCCTCCTTTCTTAAGGCATTCAGTTTTGGCCCTCGCTGGTAAAAGACAGATAGATAGGCAGCGTTTAATACTGAAGGACTGGCTTAGAAAACCAAGGGCTCAAGGAGGGTGGAACTGTAACCTCCCGAATATATTGTGAGGTTGGAATATCTTTCGGATATTACTCCCTGACCCAGGGAGCCCGGCTTCTGTGTAGGCAGCGAGGAAACTCTGTACGTACCAGGCTGCGGAAGGCTTTCTTCACCTTTAAGAATCCTGCTTTGCTGTTACTTTGACAATGGGGCTTTCCTTCTGACCTGAAAAGGGAAACCACTGTGCTCATGCTCACCCACCCAGGGGGACAGCTATTTAGAGTGAAAATGTCCCCTGCCCAAGTGAGGTCCTCTAAGAAAATCATGTAGTTAGGAAAGACTTCAGCCCGGACAGTGTTGATGTATTCCTTAGAAGGACATAATATAGGTACAAAAACAGCAGTAGGATTGCAGCAGCAAGGGCACCCTGGGGAGGCATTCCGAAGGTCCCCAAGAGGAAGAGGCTTTGAGAACTGGCATGGAAAAAGACTCACCAGCAGCCCAGGGTTGCAGCCAGGTAGCAGAGGGGCAAAGTGCTATTACAGGTGCTGTCTTCTGTGACCCAATACAAAAGAAAGAGGAGAGGGGACCAAGCAGGAAACGGAGGGAGCTGGGTGGGTAGGAAACAGTCCCTGCTCAGTAGCAGAGAGCTCAGGGAAGGCGGTCCTGGGAAAGGCCAGCCTCCCTCCAACACCCCTTTGTCACCTCTCCCTGCTCATTCATACACCTGTCCCCACTCTAGAGACCCAAGCAAGACACTCAGTTGCTCTTTGAACTTCAAATTTTCATCAGCGAAATTAAAACAAACAAACAAACAAACAAACAACAGAGTACCCCAAACAGTGAACCATAAATAGAAACCTTAAAACGGGTTTAGCTCTCCCCTTTCCTTAAAAAAAAAAATATCCACAAAAATCTGATCTGCCCCCAAAGCCCCAGCCAGCTGTGGACTTCAAAACTTGTAGCACCCATGGATCCCTCTGCCTCTGTGAGGGTCTCCCCAGCATTGCTCACAGCCCCATGAACTCCATCCCTGAGCCCTGATGTGTTTACATTCATAGGAAATGGACCAACATGATTTGTTTTTGCTGGTGCGTTTCCCCCAGAACAAAGGGGGATTTGTTGATATAACCGGCTGCAGTGAACCGGACGCTTTCCTTCCTCCCTGAATACACTGTCTCACCCACTCCTAGACAGCTGAGTTCCCGGGTGAGTAATTTTTCTAATGAAAGATATTACAGAGTAATTTCCCATCCTAAAAAGCATCCCCCCTCTCTTCTCCCGTCTCTCTGCTTCTCTTCTGCACTGCATAAAGGCTTAGTCTTCTGGCTTAAAAGGACTCTCCACCTGTCCTGTAGTTACCTTCTGCATTCTGCCTGAGAAGACATGGGTATCTGCAATGCAAGGGTTTCATCTTTTAGCGCTGAGCATTGTTTCCTTAAGGCAAAGAAGGACTTACCCCCACCGCCTCACCGCAGCTCTGTCACTCATGCCGTCCCTGGCCAGAGTGCAGCTCTCATTGCCTGCCCCTGCGCTCCGGTACACTGGGAATCAGATTACGGGCACTTGTCTGATTGGGTTTTTGGAGTGTAGGGGTGGAAAGATTCTGCACCATGTGGCAATCGCTAAGTTATATTTGAACTAGAAATCGTCCCTCTACCTGATCACTATAGACACAGGGCATTTCAGGAATGCAAAGCACTTGCTGACATACTTTTTTTGCTAAAATCTTTTCAAGTGAAGACTTCCTTAAATGTTTATTTGGATTATTCCAATCACTAAGGATTGGGGAGACTTTGCCTTGTTGGTTTCTTATTGAAACCGAATAACCATTAGAAAATAGATCCGTATAATTCAGCCATTCAGATGAATTGTCAGCTAGACATTGGCATTCAAGCGGCAAATAGCCAATGAGTTATGTTTGAAGTGTGTAAGCTGAGAAGGTAATCATAACATACAGCTGTAACTCCACTTATCTATCTATGTCCCGAGTTCAAGAATAACAATGATTATCATAATAATTTTGTATATGAAACAGCAACTAAAAAAAAAAAAAAAACAACAGAGGTTAGATAGGGACAGAATTATTGGAAGCAGTAGATAGAATTTACTATCTGGAAACCCGGGGACAGGTCTAAATATATACTTTGCTGTTCTCTGTTCAAAATGTTTGTAGAATCACCCTAGCAGGGAGTTGAGCAGAGTGTGGCTGCAGCTCTTGAAGCTGTCCCTGTCTGGAGCTGCAGAGGCTGCAGGAAATAACTGCAAGCTCTACCGGGTCATCGTCACTTTTTTCCTTAGCTAGACTCCAGGTGTGTAGGAAAGGAGAACTCTCAGCCCCTGGTTTATGGTTATGTCTTAATCAATCATATAATGGATATCATAATTCATTGCTTAACTCAGCAGCCAGAACTGTGATAAATACTTCTACCTGTGACCCTTTCTGGTTCTCAACTCGTTTCTTTATTTCAGATGGGACACACACACACACACATATGCACACACACACACACACACACACACACACACACACACTAAGGAGACATTTAGAAGTAGAAGACTCTTGTAGGTTTTCATTTTTGTTTGGTCGTCTGACTCTTGTGTTTGAGACAAGGCAATGTGTCCGGAGCTCTCAGTTCTCATTAGGGAAAGGAATTACATTTTGAATGGAAATTTCAGAGGAGCACCTCAGCACTTCTTCCCAGTTATCTTCGGGTAACAACCCTTACATAGACTTCCTTCAGATTACTGTTGCCCAGTGATTACTGTGGAACCTTTAACATATGTGTCATGATGTCAGTGTATTCTGATGAGGGGGGGAAGGGGAAGAATTTGCAAGAACCCACAAAAGACATTTGAAGCATTTCATACTGACTCTTGAAGTCTATTGCTTAGATTTTAAAAGGTGTCTATTTTCCTCCCTGATTAACAGCCTTGGCTTCCTAGGCAGATATTCTAAATGTAACTGCCTTGACCATGGGAAGATGGAGCCAGGGTGGTCATGAACTCAAGGGGTCCTGATGTCTTCTTTGCTTCTCTGCACTGAGGGCAAGGGCTCCGCAGAGTAGGTGCTTCTTGGGGCTGTGGGGTGCCAGGAGGACTTTTTTTTCTGTTTTCCTGGGCTCATCAGCATGTTCGGCAGGGCTTCTGCAGTTCCCGTAACTGCTTCACCGAGTGCCAGCAAAACTTGGTTGCCACGGTTTCCCCCTTTCTCTAGTTCCCTGCTGTGTTGACAGTCCAGTTCCTAGGGGGGACTGTTCCCATTCGGGGAGGGCCCATCCTATTTGGCACCACCTCATTGGTACTTGGCATACTGTTCTAAGGTGGAACAGGAATTAACTCTTTGTCCACCAGAGGTAGCTTTTTTGTTTGTTTGTTTTGAGACAGGGTTTCTCCGTGTAGCCTTGGCTGTCCTGGACTTGCTTTGTAGACTAGGCTGGCCTCAAACTCACACAGATCCACCTGCCTCTGCCTCCCTGAGTGCTAGGATTATAGGTGTGCACCATTGCACCCTGCTCAGAAGAGGTTTTTACTGAGTACCATTGGCTCATTTGTGATTGAGTTGGCTTTTTTGATCTTTCCTCAACAGCATCAAGTGATTACAATGAGCAAGCTACTTGCCTGGATACAGACAGGCGTTTCCTGTGGACTTGCTGTGGACAAGATGCAGAATACAGTGAAGGAAGAAAGCTTGATGCAGTAGAGATAGGAAACAGGCAAAGAAACAACAGCTTCTAAACTGAGCTGTTTGGATCTGGGGTTAGATGCAAAGGGCAGTTGGAATTAATTAATTTCCTTACATGGGGTACTAAAAGCCTAAGTCTTCTAAGGAACAACAGAGGGCTGCTGGGATAGCTCAGTTGGAAAAGTGCTTGCCTTTACAAGCTATGATCTCTTTGGTGACAGGCTATCTATATGGCACACCATGTTAAAATCAGTCTTCTTTGATGCCAGACCACCTTCTGCAGTTTTAGTTGAAGAGCCTTGTCATATTAGGTTAATAACACACAGAAAAAAAAATTAAGAAAAAACACAATGAACTTTGCAAAGCCTGTGTGATGGACCTACCTTGCTTCTGAGCTTTTAATCTGCTACCACGCTGTTTTCCTTTGGTGCTGATGAATATCTTGAATATCTTTGAGGCTTCTGGACTCTTCCTCTATCCCCACCCACAGAAATTTAATATTTTTCATGTGTTTAGAGATTAAAGAACAACAACAACAACAACAACAACAACAACAACACACACACACACACACACACACACACACACACACACACACACACACGAAACCAGTGCAGTTGGGAAGTCTCTCCAGCCTGGTGGAAAGGATTCAGTCCCTCTAATGAAGCCTGTTTTTTTTCTTTTCACAAATCTTGGCATCATAAGCTCTTCCCCTTGCCCTGTTTTATTTATTAGTGTATTCATTAGAAACATGGGCTGAGGAGAGGACTCAGTGAGCAAAGAGGTTGGTTGTGCAAGCACGCGGGCCTGAGTGTAAAAAGTGGGCATGACATTGCACCCATAATCCCAGTGCTGGTCAGGAGGGGACAGGAAGATCCCAGGGATCGGTTCATATATAAAACTACAACAGCAGCAGCATCTACAGACACTAAAACCACCAGAGCAAAGGCATTAGGAAGGCTTTCTGTGCTCTCATCAGAGCACAAATTATGGTCATGAACCAGGGTAATTTTCAGCTTATCTCCCCTCTTCCAGAGCCAGAGAAAAGCAGTGATTTAAACAACAGCAAGGGCTTGATTGTTCAGCTCAGCTTGCTGAAGTGGAAGTGAGTAAAGTCGCCTCCTTGTGAATGTAGAGCCCTTTAAGAATTAATCTCCTCTCTCCCCCACACGTCACGGATGGCATGGGGCTTCCCAGTTGATAGAATGAGTGTACTTTTCCCCATTCGGACCCGCAAGCCACTGCCTTTGCTCCGGAGGGAGTTGTGCTCTGCTGACATTTAAGGCAGGAATTCCCTGGGAAAATAGTCAAGAGATTCTTTTGGTGTGACTGGCTAACCTCCAAAGGGTCTAGGGTTCCCCTGTCCCAGCAAATAGGGAGAGAGAAAGGGAGGGAGGGAAAGAGAAACAGAAGGACTTTATTGAGGGACCGTGTTTCATCTGCAGCTTGTGCAAAAAAGCAGAAATGTGGTTGGATGACTGGATGCTTTTCTTGCCCCTTATCTCCTACCCAGCTAATATGACAACAATTCAGAGTGTGGCTAGCGCTTTAGAGGCAGCTTAGACACTGCAGGGGGAGCTTGGGTTTGCAGGGAAGCCACGGACTCTGGGATCCACTGAGCTGGACCAGGTATAATAAACTTGCCAGTCATCCAAATGCAGCTTGGAGTAGAGACTGTTCCAACTTTGAGTTAATTTGACCATATTAGAGTTGAAGCATCACTTTGGTGGTCACTATCGTCCATAAGAAGCCACTACAGAGCAGCTCAGTATCCTAATGGATGTAACAGAGTATCAGCCATACTCTCAGTTTCAGGAATAGAACCTGGGCTGAGGAGAGGGCTCAGTCAGCAAAGCGGGTGGTTGTGCAAGCACGCGGGCCTGAGTGTAAAAAGTGGGCATGGCATTGCACCCATAATCCCAGTGCTGGTCAGGAGGGGACAGGAGGATCCCAGGGATCTGTTTACAGTCAGCCCAGCCTATTAGTTAGTGAGCTGTAGGTTCAGTGAGAGACCCTACTTCAAAAGAAAACAAGGTAGAGAACTATTGAGGAAGCCAGCTGATGCTTCCTCACACGTACACCCTCCAAGCACCGACCTCCAGTACATGAGAGCAGAGCAGGCATTTGAAATTCGGTGCATACTGTGATAGGGCAGGCTGAGCGGGGGAAAAAATAATCTGGGAGTCTTTTTCTTCAGCTTTGAGAATAATGCTGGAACCAGAATATCTTCCAATGCAGAAGTAGCTGATGTCTACTACAATCTATGAGACACCTCAAAGTAACTGATATGCAACAGTCAGGCAATGAAGAATGTGATTGGATGAGCTTTGAAGTGCTCAGGACAGAATGTCCTCCTTTTACTGCGCCTTTGCTCATCCTCTTTCTTCTTTCTTCTTCTTTCTTTCTCTTTCTTCTTTCTTTCTTTCTTTTTCTTTCTTTCTGTCTTTCTTTCTTTCTTTCTTTCTTTTGTTCTTTCTCTCTCTCTCTTTCTTTCTTTTTCTTTTCTTTTCACATTGCTGCAATTAGAAAGACATATTTGAAAATAAAATAACTCACCAGGTCCTGGAAGTGTCAAGTCTTCTTATCAGTGTTTTCCTCTTCCCACAGTCTGTGTGTTCTGTTGCGCACTGGCCCGTGTTCATGCTCTGGAGACCCCATGCTGCCACATTTTGCCAGACCCTTGGTGGTCTGAAAGGTGACCCTTATCCAGGCTCTGTCACATGATTCTCTGATTTGTCTTTAAATGCACCTGGGCAGTCACTTCTTCCTTGAAGCATTTCCATCTGGGGATGCCTGAAGTATCAGTTGGCCCCCAGTTGGTGGTTCTGTTTATGTAGTTTAGGAGGCAAGGACTTGCTGGATAAAGAATGCCACTGGAGGTGTCTCTGAGGCCTCACC